TCGAACCGTCGGGGCTCGACCAGGTCCACTTCCTGTGGGGCCGCTTCTGGAAGAAAGAGTTCATCATAAAGAGTCCCTCTTTCTCCATAAAGTCGGCCAGCTGCTGGCCCCCTTCGGTTCCGTTGCCCTACTCCAAATTTCCCTAACTTCAGCTCACCGCTTTCTCTTGTGCCTAGTTTTGCGTTGAAGTCTCCCATCAACACCGTGTAGTGGGTTTTGGAGGAATGTATGGCTTTGGAAATATCCTCATACATTTCCTCCACCTCCTCATCGGAATGTGCCGACGTTGGTGCGTAAACCTGTATGACCTTCAGCGAATACCGTTTGGTGATTCTGAGTATCAGGTACGCGACCCTCGTCGACACACTCTCAATCTGTACAACGTTGTTGACGAGAGACTTGTGGACGATAAATCCGACACCTCCTTGGGACAGATGGTCGCCCTCCCGGTGATAGAACAAGTTGCCGGATTCGAGAATCACCGTGTCCTCCCCCTCTCTTCGGACCTCGGATAATCCTATAATACTCCAGCGCAACTTGTCTATCTCTTCTTCCAGCTCCAGGATCTTCTCGTCAGTCCTCAGTGTGCGTGCGTTAAATGTTGCCAGGTCGAGTCGTCGTAGGTGGCAACCGAACCTCCACCGGAGATTCTTAGCACCCCCCTGCCCCGCCGTTACCATGGTCGCCACCGTAGCCAGGAATAGCGGGGCCGCCGGGGGACTGGGGGCCGTCTATTTGTGTAATTGTTCATGGGGGGTATATTGCCATAGTTGCCACGCTTGGCGAGCGGGTTGGCAACCGCAGTTTTTTTTTTTGTCGTACAGTTGCTGTTATCAGGAAGATGCTGCTGCCCATCTCCTGCCTGTCTCCCTCTGTCGCCTCTTACGACACCCACGGGAAGATATGGGGTAGTGGATATTCTTAACCGCCACTACACGGCATAAAAAAGAATATGAGAAGCAAATTGAAAATCTCATCGTTAACGGTTACGCAGAGAAAGCGAACCATATTTCCATTTCCCCACGCACGTGGTATCTTCCCTCACTTCGCAGTGACTCAACCACAAAAAAGGAAAATAAGAATGGTTTTCGACGCCACCGCTAAGACGGGCGGACTTTGTCTTAATGATGCATTTTTAACCAGACCGGACTTGGCGTTCTGCTACGATTCAGAGAAGGAAGCGTGGCAGTGATGGCAGACATTAAAGAAATGTTCCTGCAAGTGAAAATCCGGGAAGAAGACAGGGATAGCCTTCGATTCTTATGGCGGCACAAGCGTGACGCGCCAACGGAAGAGTATAGAATGACGTCACTCGTATTTGGAGCGGCATCATCACCATGCATCGCTATGTGTGTGAAGAATAGGAATGCGCAGGGTAACGCACATATCAATCCAGAAGCAGCTTCCGCTACGGAAAGCAATTTTTATATGGATGACTATCTACAGGCATTTCCCGACGTGACGACGGCCGAAAGGATAGTAAACGATATGTATGAATTACATAAACGTTCTTCTTTCCAACTGAGGGGATGGGCTAGCAACCGACCCGAAGTTTTATGTAAAATGGAAAATAAATATAAGAGCGACAGTGCTTCACTGGGAGATAAGGAGTACACAGAACGCACTTTAGGTTTGATCTGGAATATCAAACGGGATATAATAAGTTTCTCCATAAGTCTTCGTAACACACCGGAAGAGGTGATGGAAGGTTTACGACCGCCTACGAAGAGCGAGATAACTAGTGCTGTGATGTCGGTCTTCGATTCTTTGGGACTCCCATCACCCATAACGATTCAAGGAAAGTCGCTGATCCAGCAAGTATAGAGGACAAGCATCTCTTGGGATGACGAAGTTACACACGAATTACACGTGTTATTTTGTAAATGGATATCGGAAGTGAAGAAATTAGGTCATTTAGAATTACCTAGATCCGTTGCTGAAGGCGTCGGCAAGGCAGAATTACACACCTTCATGGATGCTAGTGAAAAAGCAAACGCTGCCGCGGTGTATTACGTCACCACGGACGAGCTAGGAGAAAGGCGGATTACGCTGATCGCCGCAAAGGCAAGAGTAGCGCCGCTGAAACCAATTTCTATTCCAAGGCTTGAATTGCAAGCAGCTCTTATTGGCAGCAGATTAGCTGCATCAGTTATTGAAGAGAGCAAGTACGAGATATCCGAGAGAGTATTTTGGACGGACTCGCGTACAATGTTAGCGTGGATTAAGTCAGATCCTCGCGCTTTTAAACCATTCGTTGCTCATCGATTGGCTGAGATCGAAGATCACAGTAAACCATGTGAATGGCGATGGGTTCCAACGTCACAAAACGTGGCAGACGACGCCACTAGAAATTCCTTTAAGTAGCAGTAAGCATCAATGCAACTATCATACGGATGGCGCCCCCTCACAACACACCCACATGACCCCTATCGACTTTGGTAACAAAGTTTGTATTGTTGTTATATAAAAATATCACCAACGTATCATAGTAGCACGCTACAAAGACGCCAATGAACAAAACTCCACGTATCATAGCGCGAATGCACTAAGACATGAAGTTGAGTATGCCTGTTACACTTAAAAGTGCTACCAAATACACTCATCATCCCAATCCGAAATATAGACTACGCATCGCAATGCGCTACTATGCCGCCCACAAACGGTATGGGTGTGCGATGTCCACGGGAAAACAAACCCGCTTACCACCAGCACTAAGATGATATATCTAGGACACATCGGTTAGCGAGTCCAAGTTTACCTCGAACCAATTGCTCGTGAAGCAGCATACGCGCCACCATAATATTCCTTTTCAAGTCCCTAAGGACTAGTCATTTTGCTACAGTACTAGGAGCAGTCGGTCACCTGACCACTCCATACAATGCTTATGCATCAAGGAGACCTCCTATAATATTGCTTTTGTATCATAGATCTTACTTTCATAAGTCATTAATACATAGGGTTCGAACCCACGACCCTACTATCGTAATACATATTAATCATAGAGACCTTCTATAGTATTGCTTTTGTATCATAGACCTTACTTTCATAAGTCATTAATATATAGAGTTCGAACCCACGACCCTAATATTGTAATGCATATTAATCATAGAGACCTTCTATTGTATTGCTTTTGTATCATAGACCTTACTTTCATAAGTCATTAATATATAGAGTTCGAACCCACAACCCTACTATTGTAATGCATATTAATCATAGAGACCTTCTATAGTATTGCTTTTGTATCATGTGAGTTTAATATCATAAGTCCCTAATATAGGACTAGTCATTGTGCTACAGTACTTCCGGCAGTCGGGCTCCCGACCACCCCATATATATGTACAACTGCAGGTATGTATCTCCGGCAGCTCCTGTATACAAGACATCTGTACATGAACACCTTCCATAACTTAGGAAACTTTTCTTTTATACGTGAACTCCTTCAACAACTTTTTTTCGAATATTAATGAATAGTTTGATGTTGGTGTGAAACCCGAACAAATGGACTGTACCCTACCACTCAATTTACTAATTAAATAATACAATCTTTCAGCGTCCGATAACGATGGATTATTATGTACGGTGTTTTGAAAGCTATTAATAAACCGTTGTTTATTTTGTGGCCGTTGCCAATTTTTAATATCTCCATTGAATACCGGAATATCTATGGGGGGGGGGGGGGGGTAATCTAAGTGATTCACGAGGTCGTACCTTTTTTTTTTTAACATGGGGAAATGCCTACGCATACGCGCCTCGCGCGGGGCAAGGACGGGTTATGTCGGACTCGCACCGACTAAAACCCCATGGTGTTCCACCTTCGTCGCATATTGGCAGGGCTACGGGAACGCTTTCGCACACATCCGCGGCCCCACCAGCGACTGCCGCCCCATGGCAGCACCTCATCGGGAGAGGAATATTCCTCCCCGTTCTCCTTTCCAAGTAAGGCGCACCAGAACACATGGCACGCCTTCCTCCACGGCCTCCAATTACATCTGCGCAACAGACGCCCCCGCGTCCGATGCGCGAAGGCCATGGGGCCAGGAAAAAGGAGCACTTAAAAGTACTAGCCTTCCCGACCCCAGCGGCGGATCTGGTCTATGGCTCCGCCGCCAACCAAGATTCGGCTGCGGAGTATAGGGAGAGCGGTGCCTCGCAATACCGACCCCCTCTCCCCCCGCAGCCCCATCACCACCGCATCAACGGTGCGGCCCCGTTTGAGTCGCGGAGGATAGGGCGAGTGGCGCATCGCCATACCAACACTCCTCTTCCTCCGCGACTCCACCTCGGCTGCAGCGGTAGGTGGGGAGGACACACCTCTCACCGCAGTCCACCAACACACATCCGAAGTGGGGTTCCCAAGCCAACTCGGAGTGGCCACCTCGGGCCGGCCCTCCACCTCGGACCAGCCATATGGGTTCCTCTTTGTTTCGCCGTGGGTGACCAAGCCACGGCTTCTAAGCCCCCCCGCCACGACAAGGCGGGAACCCGTTCGGGGGGGGACGAGGTCGTACCTGGATTTATGGTTTTGCTCCGCTTTGGGCTGGAGACTGTAAGAGCTTTGCCGTTCTTTTTATACATATAACATATCTTCAAATGATAGAAGCGATTGATAGTTCACTGTATACTTAGGGTCGATTTGTAATTCTAAACTATTAATTTTGTCTAATATATTTTCGTAATCCGATCGCAAAGAGTCCAAGGTTTCTACTTCACATAAAAACGTTTCCCGCACTGAATCTGCGTTAATATTTTTTATGTGATCACTTATATATTGTATACGTGAAAATAGTACGTCCCTCTTGGCGTAAAGAGTTTTAAGTTTAATTTCATTTCCACTAACTGCCATCTTGAATCACTATAATTAATATTAGATTAATGAAAAAGAATGTACAACGAATCGCACAACGTTGGAAGATGAATATATTGCGCTACGTGACGTATTACGTCGTTAAATTGAACAATTTGTCAGTAATATTTTTTTATTGAAGGTAACTTGCAATCTGATGATGACGATGACAACGACGATGACGATGACGATGATGATGACGATGACGATGGCGATGATGATGACGATTAAGATGACAATGACGATGATTATGACTGATGATGAAGATGACGATGACAACGACGACGATGATGATGATGATGATTACGATGACGATCACAATGGAAATGACTATGGTGATGACGATGTCGATGACGATGACGACGACGATGATAATAACTATGATCATGACGATGACGATGACGATGATGATGGTGATGACGATTATGATGATGATGATGATGACAATGACGATGATGATAATCATGACAACAACAATGACGATGACAATGATGATGACGATTACGATGACAATGACGATGATTATGACTTTGACGATGAAGATGACGATGACAAGAACGATGACGATGATGATGACGATGACGATGACAATGACGATGACGATGATGATGACGATAACGATGACGATGTTGATGTCGAAGATTATGTCTATGACGATGATGATGATGATGACGATGACGATGACGATGGTGACGACGATGACGATGATGATGGCGATGTAGATGACGATGGCAATGACGATGATTGTGACTAATGATGACAATGATGATGACGATGACGATGACAATGACGACGACGATGACGATTACGGTGACAAACACGATGATTATGACTTTGATGATGATGATGACGATTACGATGACGATGATGATGTCGATGACGATGACGATGGCAATGACGATGATTGTGACTAATGATGACAATGATGATGACAATGATGATGACGATGACGATGACAATGACGATGACGTCGTTGACGATGACGATAAAGATGAAGATGACGATAACGGTGACAATGACGATGATTATGACTTTGATGATGACGATGACGATGACAATGACGATGATGATGATGACGATTACGATGACGATGATGATGTCGATGACAATTGCTATGACGATGTTGATGATGATGACGATGACGAAGACGATGGTGACGACGATGACGATGACGATGATGATGGCGATGTAGATGATGATGGCAATGACAATGATTATGATTGATGATGACAATGATGATGACGATGACGATGACAATGACGATGAAGATGAAGATGACAATGACGATGACTATGACGATGACGATGATGATGATGATGACGATGACGATGATGATGACGATGACGATGACAATGACGATGATTATGACTGATTATGACGATGACAACGACGATGATGATGATGATGATAATTACGATGACGATTATGATGAAGATGACAATGACGATGATTATGACTTTATTGATGAAGATGACGATGACGACGACGATGATGAAGATGATGATGATTACTATGACGATTACAATGGCAATGACTATGGTGATGACGATGTCAATGACGATGACGACGACGATATTAATAACTATGATCACGACGATGACGATGACGACGATTATGAAGATGATGATGACGATGACGATGATCATGGTGACGACGATTACGATGATGATGATGATGACAATGACGATGACGATGATCATGACAACGACAACGACGATGACAATGATGATGACGATAACGATGACAATGACAATGATTATGACTTTGACGATGATGATGACGATTACGATGACGATGATGATGATGATTACGATGACGATGATAATGGCGATGACTATGGTGATAACGATGTCGATGACGATGGCGATGACGATGTTAATAACTATGATCATGACGATGACGATGATGATGATGATGATGAAGATGATGATGGTGCTGACGATTACGATGATGATGATGATGACAATGATGATGACGATGATCATGACAACGACAATGACGATGATTGAAAAGGAACCAGACAAACGTTAAACTAAGAAACAGAAGGGAGGAATCCAGGCTTCTCTCGATCCGGCCTCCTATAATGCCTACGTTGGGTTCGGGAACAACGTATGTGATTTCCGCAACGGAGTAACACACAAGGGCGATAACCTCTTCCTTTTCAGAAAATAGGTTTAAGCGGGGATTACGGGACTTCCGAAGTCGTCCCGGTCCCAACGCCTTAATTCTTCGATATGGACTGTATCACTTTAAGGGGAGAATTCCTTGGGAATAAAACAGCAATTATCTTCAAACCGTTCCGTGAGAGAGTAATTACTTTTCCCTATCACTTCCCTATACTTTTTCTTTCTTCTTCTTCTTGGCTGCACAAAAAATATCTATACTACGATATACATTACATTTTCATATCACAAAAAACCCTTTATTTATTTAACAAAATATGCTTATTTTACTCACATGTTCAAAGTTGGAATTTCTTAAATATTTAACATAGAAAGTTAAAACAATGTTTTTCACTTGAAATTATACATATCTTAACTAAGACAATAGTTTAATTTATATTTTCTCTATACATTTCACTATTAAAACACTTTTAAATTTCTTATACAAAACTATCATTGTTTCACTTATTCACAGGAATTTTCACATAAAATAACACAGAATTCACCTCCTTTACACGTACAATCAATCTGAAATGTTTTACAAGTCATTATAAATAAATTGCTGAAATTTGCAAATATTTAAATATCTACATATTTGGCCTCCTAAGTACGTGACTAGCGTGCGTCTATGAACTCACACTATTTGAACAACTAACTTTTGCACGGCTATCGACTATCAGTAAAAATGGAAAGTTTAGTATACACTAATATCAACAATACTAGGTGAATAAATGATTCCACACAATTCTCAAACGCAGAAAACCACTTCCAATCAGACTCCCATCAGCCATCATGCCTCTCACCAAACAATATAAGCGAATGCTTTCATAAATCAATCACAGAAAATAGGCATTTGTTTTCATACAAAACATATCAAACTCATATAAGACAATACTTATGCAATTAATTTCCATTAATTCTACTTATGCACAGCGATCATCTCGACCGGGGAAGAAAACCTGGTCTCTAACTTTATTTTAATATTTCTTTAAATTAGCATTATTGGAAAGATGATTTCAACCGGGGAACAAATCCGGTAATATAATTTATATCTTAAAAATTCCCTATATGAATTTATTAAGAGATATTATTAAGAAAACGATAAACTATTCCAGCCTGGGAGTCGAACCCAAGACCTTCATATCATTAATTCGATATTTCTTTAAGATTCAACTAAGCATTTTCTTATCGGAATATTGTTGCTTGATAATTTGCTTTTTAGAAGCTATTCGTAATCGGTTAACTAATAAATTGAAATATTCTTATAGGCGCGTCGCCAACAATCTCCCCCCCCGTGCATCAGCACCATCATTTGGGAGGCGTCGCGGGTACCAGGACTATTATTCTGTATGTAGGTCTCCTCAAGATACCTGTGCTAGTGATGAAGTCAACCACTCTAGTGTGACCGTCTGGTTCCGGTAGCGTCCTACTAATCTTGCCTTTCGGCCACGTATTTCGTGGCAATGAATGATCTATTATCAAGACAATATCACCTTCTTTAGGCTCCATAAACTTTCCGTTATTACCTGTTCGAGGTATTAAAGTAGGCATGTATTCTTTTAGCCATCTTGTCCAAAAATGGTCGGCTAACCTCTGTGCAGATTTCCAATTGAGTTGACCCGTCAGATGTTGCTCTAAAAATAATGCAGGTGGTCGATCACAACATGAGCGTCCCAGAAGAAAATGATTGGGTGTCAAACCCTCTTCAGGACTATCCATACTGAATGTTACCAGAGGTCTGGAATTTACAGTATGCTCTGCTTCCAAAAGCAACGTATGCAGAACCTCCTCTCGCGGGCTCCTTTCTTTGAGCGTAGCGGTCAACGCAATTTTAATTGATCTTACTAACCTCTCCCAGGCGCCACCCATGTGAGGTGCTCCCGGAGGTATAAATTTCCATTTAATATATTTTTTAAATGACTCATTTTTCATGCCCTCATAGCATTCTTCGCATGCTTTCAATAATTCTTTATTCGCAGCTTTGAAATTTGTCCCGTTATCGCTGTATATAACGGCTGGTTTTCCTCTTCTGGCGATAAATCGCCTCAATGCCATTATCATTGACGTTGGTGTCAATGAGGCTGCTAATTCCAGATGTACTGCTCTGGTGGTCAGACACGTGAATAAAACACCCCAACGTTTTTCGTGTCGCCTTCCTATAGTCAAACTCATAGGACCGAAATAATCCACAGCTGAGCATGTAAAAGGTGGTTCATGATGAGCTATTCTCTCCAGAGGAATATTTCCTTGCGGCACGTTCTGCGGTTTTGACCTGTATGTCCTGCACCATTGACAATGGTGTGACACACTACGTACTACATTACGTAATTTCAAGACATAAAATTTCTGGTTCACCTCATTCATCACCGTCTGGTGATTGGCATGTCCAAGATGATGATGAACTTATCTAATCATCATTTTAACGATTTTGTGTTTACCGTCTAATACGACAGGTTTTCTACTTTCCTCGGTCAAATTAGACTTAAAAAGGTAAACGCCCATTTAAACGGAGTAAGTTATCTTCTCCTATTTCCATAGATAATTTACTTAAGCGTGAACTTCTTTCAACGCTTTTGCCTGCTTTCAAGCATTTTATTTCCAAATGAAAACACTCGTCTTGAACGAACTTCCTAATTAATAATTCAGCTTTTTTCAAGAGCGCTATGTCCAACGCGCTATCGGGTCCTTTAACCGACTTTGCTAAAACTTCGTTGGAACACATAACCGACTTTTCGGCTGCGTTGTCGGGTCCTTTAACCGACTTTCTTAAACTTTTGAATTTTTCTACCGCTTGTAAGGTGCGTGTAGTTGCCCCAAGGAATTTCTTAAAGCTGCTAAATCGTCCGTAGTCGGGTAGACTTAACGGTTCTTGCTTTCTCAGCGCATTTACGCCTTTTGGCGATTTTTCTTCACCTGTTTTTAAGCTATTTATCGTGTCCACTTGTTTGGGCCATAAATCAAGACTTTTCCTGAGGAATTCAGGTCCTTGAAACCAGCGATGACTTACATCGATGATGGAAGGAAAATTTCTAGTGGCGTCGTCTGCCACGTTTTGTGACGTTGGAACCCATCGCGATTCACATGGTTTACTGTGATCTTCGATCTCAGCCAATCGATGAGCAACGAATGGTTTAAAAGCGCGAGTATCTGACTTAATCCACGCTAACACTGTACGTGAGTCCGTCCAAAATACTCTCTTGGATATCTCGTACTTGCTCTCTTCAATAACTGATGCAGCGAATCTGCTGCCAATAAGATCTGCTTGCAATTCAAGCCTTGGAATAGAAATTGGTTTCAGCGGCGCTACTCTTGCCTTTGCGGCGATCAGCGTAATCCGCCTTTCTCCTAGCTCGTCCGTGGTGACGTAATACACCGCGGCAGCGTATGTTTTTTCACTAGCATCCGTGAAGGTGTGTAATTCTTCCTTGCCGACGCCTTCAGCAACGGGTCTAGGTACTTCTAAATGACCTAATTTCTTCACTTACGATATCCATTTACAAAATAACACGTGTAATTCGTGTGTAACTTCGTCATCCCAAGAGATGCCTGTCCTCCATACTTGCTTGATCAGCGACTTCCCTTGAATCGTTATGGGTGATGCGAGTCCTAAAGGATCGAAAACCGACATCACAGCACTAGTTATCTCGCTCTTCGTAGGCGGTCGTAAACCTTCACCTCTTCCGGTGTGTTACGAAGACTTATGGAGAAACTTATTATATCCCGTTTGATATTCCAGATCAAACCTAAAGTGCGTTCTGTGTGCTCCTTATCTCTCAGTGAAGAACTGTCGCTCTTATATTTATTTTCCATTTTACATAAAACTTCGGGTCGGTTGCTAGCCCATCCCCTCAGATGGAAAGAAGAACGTTTATGTAATTCATACATATCGTTTACTATCCTTTCGGCCGTCGTCACGTCGGGAAATGCCTGTAGATAGTCATCCATATAAAAATTGCTATCGGTAGCGGAAGCTGCTTCTGGATAGATATGTGCGTTATCCTGCGCATTCCTATTCTTCACACACATAGCGATGCATGGTGATGATGCCGCTCCTAATATGAGTGACGTCATTCTATACTCTTCCGGTGGCGCGTCACGCTTGTGCCGCCATAAGAATCGAAGGCTATCCCTGTCTTCTTCCCGGATTTTCACTTGCAGGAACATTTCTTTAATGTCTGCCATCACTGCCACGCTTCCTTCTCTGAATCGTAGCAGAACGCTTCTCATATTCTTTTTTAAACTCGCTATTTTTGTCGAGCTTCTTTTCGATATTAAACAGGCGACTTTCAACCTGCGCTCTATTCGACGGCATGCACTCATTATCTGTGCGCCATAACAAAGCAGTCTCGTACCTATTATTAGGTATACGACGTACCGTTTTGCTCAAAATATTTAAAGATCGTTCTTCTGGGTCGTTCATGGGCTTTCGCGCAGACACTCCCAGAGATCATGCTTTCCTATACGCTGCGTTTCAAAACATTTAAATAGGCTGACGAATCAGTTTCGCTCAGTTTCCTTTTAATGGCTGCATCTCTGACAAATCTCTAAAACTCAGTTTTCTTTCAATTCAAAAGCAATGGATAGTTCATTTCCCAGTGACCATGCGGGCCAAGCCGCGGGTAACAGCTAGTTAAATTATATATTCAATCACTACTATTTGACGGCAGAAATAGGTCAGAGGGTGGTAACTAAACAGACAGAAAGAAAAAAAGTTCTACCACCTAAGGGTCCGTCACACGGTGCGTTGCGTTGACGTAACGCTGTCACTGCGTCGTTTTGAATACTAAAAACCGTAGTGTTTACACGGTGCTCTGAGTTGCTGCAACGCGCACATGACTGACTGAAAG